AGAATTTCACGTAGAACACGATTCTTTCATCAAAAATTTCAGATTAGATCATTTCGTCATATCTCCTCCAATAATTGATCAATTCATGAACCAAGCGCAAGGGTATCCTCGTGATTAGTTCACTCAGAAGTTATCACTTCAACACGAAATTCATCAAATTTTAGACACCTGAAAATTCTCCATTGATGAAAATTAAGGTGGACGCGAGGAAATCTTGTTCATGAATCTAGCCTCCTCCTCATTTGTTAATTTGTTTTGGAAGCGTATTCTATTAATTTCGTGAGAGTACGTTACACGTCGGACACGCGCGATGAGGCGACACACGAGTGAATCCCGAAGCTGAGGCGAAGACGCGTGCGATCAAAGAAACCCCGCAATATCCTGTCAACCCCGCGCGGTTGCCGCCGCCGCCGATCCCGGGGCTCCAAATTGCGATGTATCGATTGTCATCCCATTTAAACCTACGGAAAAGAATCGATTATAAAGGTGTTCGCTGCGAACACCCTATTCATCGATCCTTTCCCTCAGGTTCAAATGGGAAAACAATCGATATATCGTAGTTCACGCCACGCCGCTGGGCTCCAACCCCGGCGGCGAGACCGGGCGACACCTCGGCTCCTCGCAACCCCGCCGGGGTGTCAGTATCCGGCGCGGCATTAAGATTCTAATATAACTTATTTTTATTTCTTTCAGTCAGGGGTGATCGAATCCCCCTCATCGCCACCCCCGCCCGACTCAGCGACTCCGTCGCGACGTTAGCCTGTATTCGCTTCGAGGATCACTCAAAAATGGAGTTACGGCTCTTTGCTGCCACCGCCTCCGCCCCCCNGCTCCCAAACACCTGCAAACTCGACGACGAATTCGTCAGATACTCTTGACGACAACACTTCGCTCTTCGAACGTGTAAAACCATATCGGCCCCTCGTCCCCCTTAGGCGACCTTCAGGCTGAAATATAACTTCTTCCGATGATGATGGCGAAGAAAACGAACAGACAGATGACACGTCAGAAGCAAATACTAATGATTCCGAAGTTTCCACAATTGAATTCCAAGTCTTTAAGAGGAAGCAACATTTTGAGACTGGGACACAAAAGGAAGGTATGCTGTAAAATTTACAATCGATTTGTATCCAAATGAGATGTACTCATACTCCCAAAATTTCCCAACTAGAAGTAGATAAACAAACCTTCGTTCGACAGCAATACTTTTTACTTCACAATGATCCCGACTACACTATTCGAGATTATTTGAAAGCAGTTGGTTTCAAATTACAAACAAAGTCCATCCAAGGTTCTCAATCAATTTCAATAAATTTTTACCGAAGTTTTAAAACGTTTTTAATAAAAGTTTTGAATAATTGACGCGTTTGGTCTTCAACGACTCGACAACTGGGCTGCTGGATCCGGGCATTCTCCACTTCTCCCATAGCATCCTTCTTCTCTGCCTCTCGGTGACATTCCTCTTTTTTTTGCTATCTCCTCTTTATCAAGGTTTTCGCTTTTGGACGACTACTCGGTCTTAAAATTTGCGCTTTTGGGTTGTGCCTGTTCCACACTTTGGTTCTATCCGAGTTTCTCGTTCAACAACCAGCGACAGAGCACAGGGGAAAATTTCATGAACCGCCGCCTACCCGCGGCGCACTATGGTCCAAAACTCAAGAGTAGGAATAAATAAGTCGGATAATGACGGAAAAATCACGAAAATATCGCGACTGGTGTTTTTTGAGTCGCTAATTTTAAATTTGATGTCAAATTGTCTACATTCTAACACCCTGACCTATTAATTGTGGGCAAGTTTATAGTACGCTGCGGCGCGGCGCGGCCTGCTGCCAGCTCAAGACATGCACTGACGCCTACAAACCTAAAGGGATACTTCAAGCATTGCGCAATGCGTGTAAATGCGTGCAGCGTGCGGTGCTTACGACGGGCGGGTGGTGAACGTTTTCTCGCGGAGAGAGCTCAGTGGTTGAGAAACTCGTAAATCGTGTATTTTTTTTTTTTTTTTTTTTTTCTAGTTTTTTATTTAAATTTTCTACTTTTAAAATTATACACACTGGTCGTGGGAGATAATTTGTGAACTCTCAACGCTAGATGAGGTGTAATAATGAAAGGCCGTACGCCATACGCGCTGCGGAGCAGGGCAGCTCATGAAATTCTCCCCTGTGCATGTGTGTACTACTGATCGACGAAACCAATTTTGAAGACACCAAGGGTATTTCTTCCGTCAACAACCGAGTTATCCAAAGCGCGATACCTCAGTTAACGGTAAACGTAGAGAGTGGCTGTTTCGACAGATCTTGTTAGTTTTAGCAAATCTACAAGAATAAAGCATCAAACCACGATTCTGTGACTAGCGCAACTGACCCTCTGCCTGTTAAATGTTTCAGTTCAAGTCACTAAACTTTATAATTAATGTGACAGAGATTCGGTTTAAAGTAACCCGAATTCTCGGGCGTCAAATTGTGGATAGCCTGAGGCAACAAAGACCCTGGTAATGAAGGTTTCTCTTCGCTGTACGAGTCCATGATTTTATTCTAGTTTATATGAGTTTAGTTTATACACGACCCATTCCTCTATATCTTCTGATGCAACAGTAAACACTGAAAGAAATACTGTGGTCGGATTTCAATTTAGAGAGAATTGAAAGAAGAAAAACAATAAATAAATATAAACTGAAAATGATACGTTTTTTTCAAACTCAGCCGAATATACATTAATTAGAGACAAACAATTGATTTTACTCTTATTAAACGTTTGATAATTACTAGCCGAGATTAAGGTAACATAGATTTAAAGAGGGTTCCCGTCTGTCAGTTTTACATGAAGAAGGGTTCGATCAATCGTTAAATGGATTATTCACGCGGTGCATTGCTGGAGACCAGTGAATTTTCCGCGATAAGATAGGTCGCGCGATTAGTAGGGCGAGACGTAAACTTTGTTTACTTATTATTTTCCTCTTATTACAGCAACTAAGGGAATTATTTTACTCTGCGCGGCAACCTGTCGTGCGGCAAAAGATAGTTTTTAAGCAAAATTTTTAATTCAAGACACGGACTGTCAACTTTGGAAAATTACAAAATTGGAGCTCCATTACCTCCTTCCTTCTTCATGTAATTTTAGTGTATATTTAAAAATTTTAAAAAAATATTATTTTCTCCCTAAGTATGCGGTGTTGCCAACTTCGTGAAAATGTTGATGCACCGCAAACAAGAAATGCCCTTTCTGCACTACACAGAAAAAAATGAATGGTGCTGACGACAGAACCTTTTGTTCATACGGCTCCCACAGTTTCTTTGTTACACTTACAGAACTTTCTGTCGTGGGAACAGAGTACTCTGTTCCCACGACAGAAGTTCTGTTCTCACAACAGAAAAGTTCTGTAAGTGTAACAAAGAAACTGTGGGACCGTATGAACAAAAGGTTCTGTCGTCAGCACCATCCATTTTTTTCTGTG